AAATCCAGCCTTTAATCTGGTTGCGGCAGTCGGAGCGGGAAAAAGCAAAGGAATAAAAGCCAGCGGGTGTTTCTGCCCCTGTAGTGGTTTGGTTGGTTTTTTTCTCCGTCTAAAACTCCTCTCGAAGTTGTGGCGTCAAGGGCTGGCAAGTCCAGATGCGGCTGTCCGGCTGCTGTCCTTGTAACATGCTTAGAGATGTGCAGTGAATCTCTCTGTATGCTCACATGGGTTAGGCACGTACGTGTGTGCATGTCTGTAATATGAAAATTTTATTCTTTGAACGGTTGGCTTAATACCGTGGTTTAATACCACTTACATCTTGCTCCTCAGCGTTGTTAGTTTCAAGAGATGATTGAAGGGGAGCCAAAACTTTTCTTCTACCCAGAACGCAGATGTCTTTAATGTTTCTGTGCTCTCTAGTATTTATGGTAATTCTGTCACGTCTACTTCTGTTTTCTTCCTCGACTCTCATGTTCACTGCAGATACAGATGGATATTAATGTGCACGGAGTTGTTCTTTGAGAGTTTGGGGTTGGGTTTTTTATCACCAGCTTTAGTAGCAGCTGAGTTTTGGAGAAGATGCTGCAATTGATGGTTGTTCTCCAGATGTTAACCACTGTGGCTTTGCAGAATTAATGGATCATGTGAATGGCTTACCCATTTTCCTTCTTAACTTTTCTGTCTTTGCCCATTCATTTGCAGGCTCAGACCATTTTTGTGTGTGTTAAGGAGGAGACACTGCTTCATTAACCTTCACAGAACTAAGATTATTTACGACAGCGATAATACCTCCCTTAGAGTACAGGTTTTCCTGTGGATTTTTAAAACTATTTTTTAGTTTCTTGCTAGTTTTCTGAATCCTGACTTGAAAAAAACCCAAAAGCTACCGGGTTTTAGAAATGTTTCTTCTACATACCTAGACCCCTCTGGTGGTATTCTATTTCAAAGTTCAGAGGTCTGCAGAGAGACCTCCACAGCATCGCTCCTCAACATAGAGACATCCAGGCTTTGTTACCTGCAGGTAACATGCACGTAGAGGAGTAGCAATATTTCTGAACGCTTTTTCACAGGGAGGGAAAAACGTTTCTGGTACACATTACTGACTGTGTGTATGCCTTACAGCGTCGGTTCAGTTGTTGCCTCTTGCAGGTTCGGGAATGGAAAAATGAAGGCAGCAAAAGATACATGTGCACTGGCCGGCCTGGCTGGTTGACTGTATCACTTCGTGTTGGGAAGTATAAGAAGGTTCATAAGAACATCATGATCAACTTAATGGATATTCTGGAAGTGGACAGTGAAAGACAGGTAACAAACTCATCACAAAACTTTCATAATAATGAAGTTTACAGCTTTTTTTTACTATGTTTGTAGCTGAAGAGGAGATTAGGTTCCATAAAGTACAAAGGATTTTTGTAGCAGTAGACCCACCAAATTTCAGGTTTTACAGTGTATGCTTGGATCAGTCTATCCAAAAAAACAGCATATGGAATTGCTTAGCTTTTATGTGCTGAAGTCTAAAAGACCAGATTGATTTATGGTTTTGGGGACTGAGCAACAAGATGTTGAGGCAGAGGAGGAATCACTAAACAGTTTCAACTATTTTTAGTAGCACTCTTAAGAAAGTAAGTCTCTGAATTCTGATAACAGATGGAAGTACCATCCCCTTAGCCATATTTTGTCATCGTTAATGCTGAAGACTTAATTTATGTTTGGTGGGTGAAATTGGGGGGTTTTGTGCTTTTTAGGTTGTTCGTGTGGAACCTTTGGTGACCATGGGCCAGTTGACTGCACACCTGAATCCCATGGGCTGGACTATTCCTGTGGTACCAGAGCTTGATGATCTCACTGTAGGTAAGGGTCGTTGTGATGACAAGAGACTTACTGCTTTAGCTGCATTTTCATCAGCTTTTTATGCAGTAAAATGTTGCATTATTTTAAAGGTTCCAGAAATACTGTTGAACCTTATGTTCTGTTGTGGTATTTATGTTATAAGCACTTCCTTTTTTTTTTTTTTTTTTTTAAATAGTCTTAGAAGTCATGCCCAGAGCTGAAAAGCGGGTTTTTGTTCTCATAGTCCACCTTCATTTTTTGAGTGTTTCATTTGATTTGTTTTTGTGTGTTTCATTTGATTTGTTATGTGCTCTCTTAATAAGGTGGCCTGATCATGGGAACTGGCATTGAGTCTTCATCACATATCTATGGACTTTTTCAACACACCTGTGTGGCCTATGAACTTGTTCTTGCTGATGGAAGCCTTGTGAGATGTTCACCAGTAAGACAAAATGTTATTTTGCTATCATTTACAATGTCATTGACAGTTATCGGTATGGATATGTGATTTAGTATGACATACTTTTTGCAGACTGAAAATTCAGACCTATTTTATGCAGTGCCTTGGTCTTGTGGTACTCTGGGTTTCCTGGTTGCAGCAGAAATAAAAATGATTCCTGCCAAGAAATATGTCAAAATACATTATGAGCCTGTGAGAGGACTGCAGAAGATTTGTGAGAAGTTTACTGAAGAATCTAAGAAAAAGGAGAATAATTTTGTGGAAGGACTTGTATATTCTTTGGAAGAAGCAGTCATCATGACAGGAGTCTTGACTGATGAAGCTGAGCAAAGCAAGGTAACTAAAGGGAAGTTACTCACAAAGAAAAAAAAAATAGCCCCAAAGTTTAACTGAAGCTGTACCACATGCCCATATAAAACAAGAGTAATTATAAAATTAGAACAGTTTCTTGACATGGGATTAAAAGTTAGATCTCTCCATCAGAATATTTTAAATTACAGCTCTCTACTACTACAACAGAGTCTGTACTCTAAATCTCTTCAGTTGTTAAGAAATGACCCGCTGATTTCATTATTCTAGCAAATAATTTAGTCTACAGCCTTTTCACTGCAGTACCTAAGGAGGAAGAGAAGTATCTTTTCTCATATACGGAACAATGCTGTTTAAACCTGCAGTTATTCAAAGTAACTCGTATCTCAGCAAGCTTTTAATACAGTTAATATTGGTAAAACACATCAGGGACATTTACAGGAGGGGCACGCTAATTGTTCACTGCAACCCTCAACCTGGATGTTTCTCCTCTGCCGTAATGAGACTTTGCATTAAGGTGGGTTGAGAGATCGGTATTTTAGGAATCCAGTTCTGTCACGTTCATGGTCTCTTGATTAGCTTGTAACAGGTAAGCCTTAGCAAGCCTTATTTAAGTTAAACCTTAATGGCAAGAAAGGTAAGAAGGAGCCATGCATGTGGAGAAATGAAGGCTCCCTAGATCTCTTGTGACAGTCTCATTCAAGCTGTCACAGAGAGTATAACATTGATTCTTCACAGTAAACGAGTTTGGGGACGTACTTAATGTTGTCTGGTAAGGTGTAACTGTTACCTGTGTTGGTGTTCGCTAATGAATGCTTGTTTTCTTGTAGATAAACAGAATTGGCAACTACTACAAGCCGTGGTTCTTTAAGCATGTGGAGAAGTATTTGAAAGCTGACAGGACTGGAATAGAATACATTCCTTCAAGACATTATTACCATAGACATACACGCAGTATCTTCTGGGAGCTCCAAGTAAGACCAGTTCCAAAGTTAAAATAACATCTGCAGAAAGGTACTCTGCTCTTTCCCGGTGTAGGTCCTGTGTACGTTCTTCCCCTTGGCAACACTTCTGTCTTTCATGGCAGAAAACAACAATGAAGTTTATGGCAAATTCAGAAGTCCTGCATTTGGGCAAAACAAATCCAAAGGCGCTTCTTTATATATAGAGGATTATATTGTAACCTCCTAATTTCTGTTTTAGTGCTTTTCTGAATTTAGACCTCAAGTACCTATTTCAGCATTAAGCTTTTATACCTGCTAAGTGATTTTCAAAGAGAGATGGTGGAAAAAACATGAATGTGAAATGATGGCTGAAAATTTGCCCTGCCTAAACTCAGAATTGTAATTATGCAGTAAGGTCATTACTTTGAATTTCATAAATGTATTTGTTGTGATGTGCATTTACGCATAACTTTATTTGGCATTCTGAAAGATTCCCATTGCTACATTTTGAATCTCTGGAGTGAGATACTGGATCCTTTCAGCTCCAGAGAAGTTGAACAGGAGTTGGCTGTGCCAGAAGTGCTTAAAATTTTACAGCTTTAAAATTCTTTTAAGAACTGATCTTGTATGTGTTTAGTCTTGCAAGAGTTCTTGAAGTTTACCTTCTTAGGCACTCCTTCCTTAGCTGGTTTAACATAATAGCCTACTGTTCTCTGAACTTCATACTCTGAAAGTATTTGGGGCTGAGTATGTTGTGATTCATATGACTGAAAATCAATCGTTGTAACTAGAGGAGGCTTAGGGCAGGGCTGCGTAGCCAAGTTCAGTCCAGGCCTCTCTTATTTATTCCTATTTGTATTACAGTATTATAGTTTAGCAAAAGTATCAGCAGTTAAATTTATTGAAAATCTGGCTTAATATTCCTCTGAGGATTCTGAAGTATTGTCTTTTTGGTTCACTTACACATTCTTAAGTCAAACTTTTTTCTTTCCTCTTTAAAGGATATCATTCCTTTTGGCAATAACCCTGTTTTCCGTTACCTGTTTGGCTGGATGGTTCCTCCAAAAATCTCTTTGTTAAAACTCACCCAAGGAGAAGCTATTCGAAAGCTGTACGAGCAACACCATGTTGTACAGGACATGTTGGTGCCAATGAAGAGCCTTGAAAAATCTATCCAAACCTTCCATGTTGACCTTAATGTAAGAACACATGTTTTTAAAATGCAGCAAATCTTGGACTGTCTGTAATAAGACCTGTGACTGTTGATCTTGAGACATAATAGTCTGCTTGCGTAAAAGGTCATTATTTTATCCGGGGGAGTACTGTGCTTTGCGAGTCTATGATGCAAGGCTGCAGAAGAAATGAACACAGCTTTCTGTAAAAAAGAATTTTAAAAAAAAGTGAGATTCAAAGTTTAGTAGAAGGGCAACACTTCTAAAAGAATTTATCGCTTAGTAAAATTTGAACTGATTTTTCTTTCACCTGAAATGACTGGTGGTCTCACTAAACCCCAACTGTGGGAATTAATTTCCCTTTGTTGCTTTTATTTCTGAATTTATTTCAGTTTGTATAAGAAGTACAAACTTGGCAGTTTCAATTTTGGACTGACCTTGAAAAGAAGACTCTTCGTTCTTTTTTTACTCAGAACATGCATTCAGTTGTCGCTTTGGGATCAGGGATGGGGTTTTTTTCATTTCAAATATTTAAGGGGGAGGAGATACAATTCTAGGAGGACACAGCACATACTCTGAGCACCTCAATCTATTTGTGTTACGGTCGTTAGAAAGTGTGGCTAAGAACCACAGCAAGACAATTGGAAAGGAAGAGCTATGTAAGTTTCAATCCCAAATTGAGAAGTTCTTTTAACTCTTCATTTTTTCACCTTTATTAAGAGATCGCTTAAAGGATTGTTTTGTTAAAAATGAGTGATAAAGTGTTTTCTTCCCTCTGCAGGTGTACCCTCTTTGGTTATGTCCTTTCATATTGCCCAATAATCCTGGTATGGTCCACCCAAAAGGGGATGAAGCAGAACTCTACGTGGATATAGGAGCTTATGGAGAGCCCAAAAGGAAACAATTTGAAGCCAGGGCTTCAATGAGGCAAATGGAAAAGTTTGTAAGAAGCGTGCATGGGTAAGGATCCCACTCCATAGAATAGTAATAATGCCATGTAATTGTGGTTTAGTCACGGCTGTTTAATCCCACAGCACTTTAATATTGCAATAATTTAACAACCACAATCATTGAAAACTAATTTTAATTACTAATTTTGATGTTATGATTTTCAAATATGATTTCACTTTCATTATTTGATTGCAAAACCAAACAACCAAAACGGGTGCAGTGGCTGAAGTTCTTGCAGTGTATTTGGGAGCTGGGTAGGTTCAGGTCACCTGTGCATCCTTTCAACTCCAGGCTTCTCTAGGAGTAGAGTCTCTGCTGTAACAAAATACATCCGTGCACCCAGGTGCAGAAAAACCTCAGCAGGTCTGTGCAGACTGTACAGAAACCAGCTGCTGTCCAGAAGCGGTGTTAGCTGGGTTGGTGACCGCTCTCAGCAAGGCTGGCTAGCCCTGCCCTCAGGAAGGCAGCCGCTGAGCTTGCTTACTGAGGCTGACTTGTTTTCGGCCAGGGCAGAGCAAGTGCTGTTTTGGCCACAGTTGGCCACAGTCCCTTCAGGAATCCCACAGACTGTTAAAGTTTGGACACCTTCCCTGCCTGCCCTTGGGACTGTTCTGCTCCCGGCAGTCCTTGCGGAGTCATGCTGCACCTCTGCCCCGGCCTTGCGCTGGTGTGTCCTCACACAGGGAGCCCAGCCTTGACTTTTCCCCGCGGTCCCTGTGCAGTCTTTCCTCCCTGTGGGAGTCTTTCCTCCCTCACAACTTGTCCTTCCACAGCTTCCTTTTCCCTGCCCTGAGTCTTAGTACATAGGACCACAGTAGGCGTGAAATATGTGCCCACCATCTGTCACAGACTCATGCCAGCCTAATTTGCTGTAGTAGTGTCAGCAGAGAAGCAGTTACAGGCTTGTTTCTCAGGAACGAAAAACAACTACACGGTATTTTTACACCATCAGTGTAATTTATCCATATTTCTGTTTTGACCTACTTCTCAGTCTAACAGGATATCCCATGTGGCTGAGTAACAGTGGTGAGTCTGCTTCGAGATGATTTGGAGAGTGTAAATGACTTGTAGCTGCAATAAGTGATCTGCCAGAGAACAAAGCAACTGAAAGTTAATTTTAAGCTTTTTTTAATTAACTTGAAATTAAGCTTTTAATTTAAAGCTCTTTGCTAACAAAGTTTTGTCTCTTCTCTACCTGTCACTGGGAAATGAGCAATGGATAAATGCTTAATCTTACAGTTTTGTAATCACACACTACAATAGAGCTTTTATGTAACAGTTTGCGTTCTACTGCTGTACTCCGATGCCAGCTGCATTTTAGAGAGCATGGGACGAACGTAAGGAAGAGTCCACAGCTAAATAAGGATTTCATTTATTTTTGTAAATGGACCTTTGTTACACTGTGCTTCATTTACACTATAAATTTATCTTCTCAGCCTGGTCTGATCTGACAGGCTTTTGCCTTCCTACTTATATTCTCAATGCCCAGTTCAAAGAAACTGTAAAAAGTCAATGTATTGCTACGTCTGCCCCGAATGCAGTTTGTAATGCAGGCTAATACGAGGCACCATGACTGTACCTCCATGGATCATAAGAAAGCATGCAGAAAAAGTACTTCCTTTTTTTTGAAGGTGGAATTAAAAAGTTTGGAATGGAAGAAAAAGGAAAGCAGGCTTTCAAAAGCAGTTAGAAAAGTATTTGTCAGGGAGAATTTGGGTTATGTGTGGTTTTCGGTGCAAGGGGCCAGACTTTTGATTTGGGGGAACTTTTGAAGTGCTCTCTAGACTTGTGTTTCTGTGGGCACAAGTTGTCAGAATACAAGTTGTGAGATCATTTGGGTGCACGTGGTTAGGATGTCTAAACATGAACCACTGGTTTATACACATTTTTTAGTCCTTCTCCTTTTCTCTTTGTAGTAGCAAAACTAACGAAAGTATTGATACATTGATGGCTAAAGAAGTGTTCTGAACCGTATTTTAAAAGCAACAGTTATTTTCATTGCTTTCTTTTCCCATCTTCCCCTTCAACAAAATGACTGTAGCAGTATTCTGCTGTTTTCACCATTATGTGTTAGTTCCTCTTGGAAAACAGATCATGGTAATGTTTAATCCACAGAATACAATTGGCTGAGTGTCTGAGTGTAATCCATGTGAGCAATTATATTTGCTTGTTTTTAAAAAGCATTTTTGATGGAGTTTTTTTTGTTGAATATTACTATTCATAGCTTGCCCTGAATTTTTTTTTTTTAATCTTTTATTTCAAATCTTGTGGCACAATTAATACTGAATCTCTGTCTCTTTTTTTTTTTTTTCTTTTCCTCTCCAGTTTCCAGATGCTGTATGCCGATTGCTATATGACCCGTGAGGAGTTCTGGGATATGTTTGATGGTTCGTTATACCACAAGCTGAGGGAGCAGATGAATTGCAAGGATGCCTTTCCAGAAGTGTATGACAAAATCTGCAAAGCTGCAAGACACTGAGCCTGAATGATCCAATCAAGCAATCAGGGAAAGATTAATTTACCTATAGCTAGTCAGTATATCCTTTAAAAAAAAAAGCTTTATTGCTCTCCAAATAAGCTTGTTCTTGTTGATGTTTAAAGGTATGAATTCCTGCTTTATAAATTTATTTTAGTATTTCTTCGTATGTTTTAAAACCAATTTTCCAAACTCAAAGCAACTGTTTTTACGAACTCTTAAGTGCTAGCCTTTGTATATAATGTCGTGACATAGGTGAATTCACCTATTTCCAAGCATAAGAAAAATAATTGGAAAGGATGAAGACACTGGAGTTACACCAGCTGTATACTATAGCTATATTTAATGTTACTTTTGAAAATGGTAGGGAGGGCTCAGAAAGAGGTGCCAAAGCTGAACGCATTGTTAAATTAATCGTGATGTTAAAAACATTTGCCTCCCGTCGGTAACCTGTAGAACAGCTTAGCGATGGTACCATAATCTTCCGGCTGTACAGCGCCATGTGATATTGCGTGGTACCATACTGCTTGGGTTATACTGTACTCCAGTCTCAGCAGAGCGGGTAAACTCCCTCACAGTGGCTTCAGTTTCAAAACTGAGCATTGAGGTGTGAAGAAAATGCCTTTTCCTTGTGCCTATCAGATTTGTACTGGTTTTGATTATAAAGCGCAAGTGGATGTAGGTTTTAGGTACTTTGTAATTGGCTAATGGTGCGTGGATTTTTTGCCCCAAAATACCAACGTTATGGCTTTGCAGACTACTGAAAAAATTGCTGCTATTTCATATAGCCAAGTTTTAATTTCAGTTTTTACTCGTTGTGGGTCAGTTTATTTGTATTTTTTTTTGTTTTGATTTTTGGGGGGTTTTGGTTGTTGCTTAATTTCAGTGCCTTATAAATACTCAGTTGGAGGAAGACGTAGGTTATTTCAGACCGTTCTGTCCTGGCTGGTAGGAAAAGGAAATCAAGGCTTTATTTATACGAGGTTTGTTAGAGCAAGTGGCTGTGGATAAGAGGAACTCTTGTTGTGAATCTTGATACACACAGGCTTTGGTTCTGACTCGAGTGACAATTTTGCTTTTCGTTTTAGCTGGATTAGATTGATAGGCTTTGTAAAAGGACTGTTTTAGTCACCTGGAGAGGAAATCAACAGCAAGTACTGCTCAGTTCCCCCTTCTGCTGCTCGATGGTGAAAACGGCACGGTCACGCACTTCATACAGTCAAGTGTAGAAGTGTGGAAATGTTTTGACCCTGTAGCCAGAAACACAGTTCTAAACCAAGCCCGTGTCTTGTCCAAGCAGTACTTAAAATTATTACTTGAAACCTTACTGAGCTTGAGGGAAAAGAAAGTAATTTTCTTGAGGCTTGTGTAGGGGTAACATGAAGAACTTCTTAAACAGTTACCAGCGGGAGGCGTTGTAATTTTTATATGAGCGCTAAACCAATGATTTTATTTATTGATAGATGGATGTTTATAGTCCAGATGAAACCAATGATAAAGCAGTAACAAGAGTAAGTTTGGCCTGTTACTCGGTGATGCATGCTGAGCAAATTGTGTGCAAATAAAGTACCCCTTAAAATCCCGAGGCGGGGGGCGGGACTGGTCACAGGGGCAGCCTGCCAAGGGGAGACGCAGCCCATGCAGGGCACCTGCGATTGCTGCCCAAGCCGCAGAGCCGGGCAGGAGGTGGAGCTGTGTCAGTGATCCAGGAGCATCCGCTACATCGTTCCAGGCTTCAGGGTACACAGGAAGGCAAATGCTGATTCTGGAGGTGTCATCTGCCCTCCTGCCCCTGTCAGGGAAGTGGCACAAGAGCAGTTTCCTTGTCCCTGGGACAAAGCTACGATTTAGCCCAGTGCTTGTAAGATAATCTGCACAGAGCAAGAATGGGTTTGGTTAGCTTTTAAAGGGCGATGTTAAAACAGCTAGAGGATGTGCAAATACTTTTATTTAGGCTGTGGTTCTCTCACTTCTATACCGATGATCTTTAGGTATGCACTGCATTTGTTTTTCCACTGTTTAATTTATTGGCAAACTTTGTATGACGTGATTGGGTACTGTAACTGTATCGGTCACACACATGCACATGCATAATTGCTGTTGCTCTTAATTTTTGGTTGTACGGGCTGTTTAAAATAAAGATCTAGCCAGCATAGTGTTTCAAGTGGTGTCTTTTAATGAATGATTACTTTTCGACAGTTCTGTTTATCATTTCTGGTGCTTATTGTATTGTTACAAATGGTCAGCAATTACTGAGAAAAGCTGCCGTCTGGGTAAGAGACCGGATGCGTTGCGAGGAGGCTGGGAGATGAGGACCCTGGCTCTGCAAACAGCTTTGAAGGAATATCTTTGAAGTCTGTGAGCCTACGCTTATCTCTGCCCAAAGACACACCTATACAAAACAAACACCTTATAGCTGAGCCTTAACCCTTCAGTTACGCCCCACTAACTCCACATCGCTTCATGATGCCAATTACCCTGATTTTTTTTTTTTCCCCCTTGCCTCATTCTTTCCCTGTGATGTTTTCTCCAAGGAGGACAAAACCCCATTTTGGCTGTAGGTGCTGCAGCAGTTGACATGGGTAGCTCCTTCATTCTTCTCACTTCCCCCTAATAAATTGAACGAGCAGCCACAGAAGTGAGGATGAAGATTCAGTGTGCTCCTCAGCCTTAGGATTTTCACATCCACATCTTCTGTTCCCTCAAAAAATGCCTTCGCAGCAGCTCTGTAGGCTTTGTCAGAGGGATTCCTGCCCCTCCCTTGGTCACAGCTGCTGCATCATCTTCCAATGCTCTCTTCCCAGAGAGAAGTTCCTGGGCTTTCTCCAGAAATCCAGGCTGCCAAATGCCTCAGCCCCACCGAAACTGCAGTTCAGGTGCCAAAGCCTTGTGCTCCTTTGATCACATTCTGTCTTGGCCCTGACCTACGCTGCATTTCACAGCCGCTTTTGCTACCCCAGCAGTATTTCTGTAGCCTACGCTCACCCACCTCGCTGCTCGGGCATTTCCCTTCAGAGACCTCCTCCCTCCTTTGCTTCCTTCTCTAGAACAATAATTGGTATTTCCTTAAAGCACTGCAGTTTTACCTGTGTTCAGTTATCTTCCCCACCAAAGGATAACTGCAGATTAGCATACTTAATCAGCCACAACTAACATGTAATTACACCTACATTTAATTATTCCAGTCTGGTCTAAACACTAGTATGAGGTTTCGTAAATGTGAAAGTGAACCAGCATACTCCCAGTACATTTTTATGGCCATCCTTTGTTACCGCTGACACAGCTCTCTCTTCATTTCACTTTCTCCGTTGCCTCTAGGTTTATAATATCCTACAAAATGTGGAATGATGACACTGAAGTCCTCCTAATTCCTTCCAGCTGCTCATAAACATTTGCATTGTTAATTGAAGTGCAGCTGTACATGACAGCTTGTGATGAAGACTTGCGCGCAGCTACTTTAAAGACGGCGCAGGACAGGTACGTAGGCAGTTACTGAAGGCCTAACTACTCAACTTTGCTATAGTAGTGCTTTCTCAGACCCAGCTCTCCGTTGAGTTGTACTGGTGGACCTGGGGGTATTCACCTGTGGTAACACCACCATGCCCATAACAGGTACGTGCGACTTCTTTAAGTAGCATCGTTTGAAAGGAAGTGTTTAACACCACATGAGCTGTGCGTGCCAGCAGACCTTCCTTCGGAGGACATTCAGTATCTGACATTTTCTTCTCCAGTGTGTCATTTTTATAAAGGCCAAGGTGGAAATAATGAATTACTGGACAGAAAAGCTAGACTGCTGATTGTCTAAGAGTGTTTTATTACTGCAGAACAAGACTGGAGTTGTTTCCTGTCTCTTGACTCGCACACCATATTTTTGTCTACCCCATCTCACCTGCTGGCGTGTCTGCCATTTACTCACTGATTATCCATGGGCTTCCCAGCACCATCTTATGTTTCAAAAACAGCAGTGGTTTCTTCAGAGGTATCTGGACAACGTGGAGCAGAAATCAAATCACTCCAGTCTTTTTTAGCAACAGGCTTGAGCCTCTCCCTGCGGAAAAAGGATGCTATTCAGTGGGCTCAAATTATTGGCTGCATTAATCTCATTAGTCTTAACGAGCATGGAGGTGAACAGAGCTCTTAAAAGCCTGACTGTTCCCTTAGAAGCACAGCTGTAACTTGAAAAGTGATTTTGGAGCCAGTGCTATTTGATCAGAGAGATGCGTTTAAATTCCAAGTCCTGCTCGCTATTCAGATTTTTTTTTATTCCTACTGGAACTGCAAGATTAACAAAGCTGGGCAATACTGAAAGCTAGATTTCATTATGTCTTTTCCATCATAGGATAGCTAACTTCTGGCTGTAAAGTTATATTCAGCTGAGACCGATTTCTAACTACTCTCTGGAGATCAAGACAGACCTTTGCAGAGCTGTCAGCCCATAGTGCCACCGCAGCAGTTTGCTAAGCTTGGCCACAAGCAAAGGTGAGAGCGGAGGGCTATCCTGAGGTCTCTCATTAGCGTAGTTCCTAACTGCTTCACAGGCTTTTCACGCTAGCGATTTCAAAGCCCTTTGTGGTGAAAGTGAGCTTTGTTATCTTCCTTCCTCAGATGGGTAAACCGAGGCACAGCCTGAGAAGGTGATTTTTGTTTGGCATCGTTGAGCAGTCCCGTGCTGACACTGGGAATGAGTCCAGCCAGCCTGATTGATTATCCATCCACCTCCCACTTCCTTCCTAGGCTGCCTTCTCCAACTTGATGCAAAATATTTGCTTACATCTCTGCTGCAGGCAAACTGCATTTCACAAGATAGAGCCACCTCCTTGGCATCTTTGAAGTGCCTTGAGAGACCGGAGTTCTTTAACCCTCCCACTACTCCTACATGGTGGGGAAGCACAAAGGTTTCTTTGCTTTGCTGGGAGGAGAGAGGTGCAGCAATTCCAACCTCCCTGTCCACAGAGGGAACCTGCGGTGAGGCGGACAAGTGTTTCTCAGTCCCGATCCAGTGCTTTAACTACATGATCATCCCATCTCACATCACCTGTTGTGTCAGTAACGTGTACTCAGTCTCCCTAGAGCTACTCAAGATGATTTTCCTGTAAGCCACCGTGAAACCACTTACAGCCCCCTTGGCTGTCAGACTTACAGCAAGCAGCCATCCCGCTTCAAGTTGCTCAGGTAGAGCTGTGTGTGACACGGGTACAGCGACAGGTATCTCATCTTCTGAGGGAATTTTTCATGCTTGGTGATGTCATAGCGACAAACACCTACAGAGTTCTGGAAGGAGAAGGTCTCACGTGGCCAGGCCTTCAGTTGCAAAAAATCATAGAATCATAGAACCATTTAGGTTGGAGAAGACCTTTAAGATCATCAAGTCCAACCGTTAACCCAGCACAGCCAAGTCCACCACTAAACCATGTCCCTAAGCACCACGTCTACGCATCTTTTAAATGCCTCCAGGGATGGTGACTCAACCACTTCCCCGGGCAGCCTGTTCCAGTGC